TATTGATTCAGCTAATATGAGGTTTCCTTTTAGTATTAAGAGCTTTATATAAACCACTTTTTAGCTCAAATAAGGGTAAACTTTATCGTATTTCAAACTCTACAGGTATTTCAATTTCTGAATTTTAAACTGTACTTGTATGTATGTTTTTTTTCTATTAGATCAAAAGCAACAAAAAACTAGTTAAACTCTTGAGGTTTCTGCAATTCTTTCCCAAAATTTGAAATTTTTGCATTTTTCTTCCAAAAACTTTAAGAATTTGAAATCTTTGAAACCTATGGCTTCAGCTTACTTTCAGCTAGATTGAGTAATTTTTAAAAATTAAGACCAACTAAAAAATAGTTCATTTTATCAAACCTTATCGTGTTTTGAAGTTTTTTGAAAAAACTTTCAATTTTTTTAATAAAAATTCCAAGTTTCTGCACATCTTACCATTGACTTACCATGAACCAAAAAAACATAATACCTTCTTTACCCAATCATAATACTCACCAGTTACATAATGCAAGCCGAATTTTTTGCGAAATAAACTAGACATTTCCACACAAAATCCAAAAAAATACCGTTTTTCTTACCATTCTCTTAACATCAAACTGAAATCTTACCATTCCCTATCCTAATAAATTGGGAAACCTATTCCCTATCTTGATGAGTCCCTAATTCCCTACAATGAGTTTCTAATCCTTATACTTAGGGAAATCTATGCACAATCTTAAAACATGGTAAGATCGGGCGCCGAACATTTTTTCTCGAAACTTAACATCTTACCATCTGAAACTCTGAAACCTATAACCAATCTTAATACCTTGGAAAATCTATTCCCACGTAAAACATCTATGATGGTTACTAGTCAGATAACGCGCGCCGATATTTTTGCTGAAAATACACATTATCACACAAAGTTCAAAAAAAATACCGTTTTTCCTACCATTCTCTTACCATCACACTGAAACCTTACCATTACCTATCTCAAAAATTTGGGAAAACTATTCCCTATGTTAATACATAGGGTGATGACCGGATACTATATAGCCTATGTTAATATATGGGGGTCATCACACCCGGACAATTTGAATCCAACATATACTACTATCGTCACTGCTTGCAAATTTAAATTAGTTGTGGATCTCCCTTCCCTTATTCAGTAAAGAGTTCTTTTCTCTCATATGGTTGCCATACCCTCTTTGCCTGTAAATAGAATTTGGATGTGGGTCGCCCTTCTTTTACTCAATAAAGAATTCATTTCTCTCATATGGTTGCCATATCCTCACTGCTTGCAAATGTAAATTAGTTTTTGATCCCCCTTTCCTAACTCAGTGACGAATTTTTTTCTCTTATATCGCTCCCATATCCTCACTGTTTGCAAATGTAATTTAGTTTTGGATCTCCTTCGCTAACTCAGTGAAATTTTTTTTCGCATTTGGTAGCCATGTCCTCTCTGCTTGCAAATGTATCTTAGGTTTGGTTCTCCAATCCCCTCGAAGACCATGAAACTGAGTTGTCTGTTTTATTCTCATGTTCTCATTAGTTTGTACATGGTAACGCTTGAGAGTCAATTACAAAGTAACAATTAGACGTTATCAGTTCTGTTTTTATCTCTGCCAGCAAACTGTTCGTTCAATTGATACCATTTTCCTCCTAAATTCCCCAATTTTGACTAGATTTTCTTACAAAGTGAGTTCAATAGCGAATACATGTAAAAAGCAGAAAACAAGAATAGCAAGGAAACATTAGAAAATCATGAAAGTTGTGTTGTAGAAGCAACAGAGAGATAATGAATAGTTTTCAAGAAGAATTTGTTGATTTTCATCCAATCTAAAATAGTTTTAAGACCAATTAACCCCGTTTTTAGTCAATTTTAGCAGTAAAATGTTCCTCTTTCATCAATGATCCGAAACTTGTTATTATTTTTAACGTGAAAAATTTCTCAGTAAGAAGATGTAAATTCCGTACCATTTTGGGTTAATTATTGAGAAAAAAAAACAGAGGAGGAGTTGGATCATGAAGTTTGATCTAGAATTTTTAATCAATTTTTCTCTCATTGTTCATTTGAATTGAGATTCTTAAGTGAATTCTCCTTGATTTGGACAAAAAATCACTTAAATACACAAATGAATGGTTAAAATGGAAAACTTTGGATATATTTGACTATCTTTTTCTTTCTCAAAAATTACGATTAATTACACTAATTTCCCGAAAAATTGAAAGTTTCAGTATTGATTCAGCTAATATGAGGTTTCCTTTTAGTATTAAGAGCTTTATATAAACCTTTTTTTTAGCTCAAATTAGGGTAAACTTTATCGTATTTCAAACTCTACAGGTATTTCAATTTCTAAATTTAAAACTGTACTTGTATGTATGTTTTTTTTCTATTAGATCAAAAGCAACAAAAAACTAGTTAAACTCTTGAGGTTTCTGCAATTCTTTCCCAAAATTTGAAATTTTTGCAATTTTTTTTCAAAAACTTTAAAAATTTGAAATCTTTGAAACCTATGGCTTCAGCTTACTTTCAGCTAGATTGAGTACTTTTTAAAAATTAAGACCAACTAAAAAATAGTTCATTTTATCAAACCTTATCGTGTTTGAAGTTTTTTGAAAAAACTTTCAATTTTTTTAATAAAAATTCCAAGTTTTTGCACATCTTACCATTGACTTACCATGAACCAAAAAAACATAATACCTTTTTTACCCAATCGTAATACTCACCAGTTACATAATGCAAGCCGAATTTTTTGCGAAATAAACTAGATATTTCCACACAAAATCCAAAAAAATACCGTTTTTCTTACCATTCTCTTAACATCAAACTGAAATCTTACCATTCGCTATCCTAATAAATTGGGAAACCTATTCCCTATCTTGATGAGTCCCTAATTCCCTACAATGAGTTTCTAATCCTTATACTTAGGGAAATCTATGCACAATCTTAAAACATGGTAAGATCGGGCGCCGAACATTTTTTCTCTTAACTTAACATCTTACCATCTGAAACTCTGAAACCTATAACCAATCTTAATACCTTGGAAAATCTATTCCCACGTAAAACATCTATGATGGTTACTAGTCAGATAACGCGCGCCGATATTTTTGCTGAAAATACACATTATCACACAAAGTTCAAAAAAAATACCGTTTTTCCTACCATTCTCTTACCATCACACTGAAACCTTACCATTACCTATCTCAAAAATTTGGGAAAACTATTCCCTATGTTAATACATAGGGTGATGACCGAATACTATATAGCCTATGTTAATATATGGGGGTCATCACACCCGGACAATTTGAATCCAACATATACTACTATCGTCACTGCTTGCAAATTTAAATTAGTTGTGGATCTCCCTTCCCTTATTCAGTAAAGAGTTCTTTTCTCTCATATGGTTGCCATACCCTCTTTGCCTGTAAATAGAATTTGGATGTGGGTCGCCCTTCTTTTACTCAATAAAGAATTCATTTCTCTCATATGGTTGCCATATCCTCACTGCTTGAAAATGTAAATTAGTTTTTGATCCCCCTTTCCTAACTCAGTGACGAATTTTTTTCTCTTATATCGCTCCCATATCCTCACTGTTTGCAAATGTAATTTAGTTTTGGATCTCCTTCGCTAACTCAGTGAAATTTTTTTTCGCATTTGGTAGCCATGTCCTCTCTGCTTGCAAATGTATCTTAGGTTTGGTTCTCCAATCCCCTCGAAGACCATGAAACTGAGTTGTCTGTTTTATTCTCATGTTCTCATTAGTTAGTACATGGTAACGCTTGAGAGTCATTACGAGGCCAAACTGTGCATACTGTGCATTATAAGCGGATTCCGCAACAGGCTCAAATCAGATTGGTCGCGGAACCCTCAACATTGCGATTTTTCTTTGATCTTTTTGCTGTTTTGCATTCCACAAACATTTACCTACAACAATAAACCGCTCAAAATCGCTCCAAAAATGGGCGAATTTGCGCAACCCGAAACCGTAGTTGCGGAATCCAGAACAGTTTGTTAAATCAACAAACAAATAATAAGACATGTGTAGTTAAATTGAGCTGTTGCAGAATCTGCAACTGTAAGCGCAACCCGCAAATTGTAAGTGGAATCCGCAAATTGTAATTGGAATCCGCAATGTGTTTGCGGATTCCGTTTACATCTAAGGATATATAAAGTATAAGAGTTTAAATTTTTATCGTTTCTTCACTCAGCTAATCAGAAAGGTGTAGCATCATTTCTTCACACAAAAAACTGCCCTCATGATTCGATTTCCTTTTCGACTCGTCTCGAATACTGCTCTCAATGTTTTAATAGAATCGTAATCAGCTAGGTCAGATTTTGGGATTGATGTAATCCCAAACACTGAACAGTATTCGGGATTGACTCAATCCCAAATACTGAACTAATTCGTCGATATGCTAAGCGTTGTGTTTCAAAATACTCTCAACCCAACGACTTCATATTTTGAATTTATTCGGTGTAGTGTTTCCAAAACACTAAGAGGTGACATCCACCGATTTATTTAACCAATGTTTTGAGATTTGTTCTTGGATTCCGCTGTTAATTTTAAGTCCATGCTTTTAAATTCCGCGTTGCTATATATAAGAATTCCAGCTTCAGCTGTTAATTGCTCATATGCAAGTTCAGCAATAAGCAAAAATTCGGAATCCACATACAGTGGGCCGACAAAAATTACGTTACAGATATTTTTACGCGGAATCCACGGAAGTTTTGTAAGTGGAATCCACTTACCTTTTGGAACATATTTAAATAATCGTCTATGGAATCCAGGAACATACAGACACAAAATTGTGCGCCTATCCAATCCAGTGCACAACTTGGCCTGGTAGTGGTGTTTATTTAAGCTTAGAACTTTTTCCTCGCCCATAAAAGAGAAGAGATTTTGCATTTCAGCAAAAAAGTTTGTGTTGGAAGTTTTCCACTTGAACATTGGTGTTGCTCGTCTAAACGAGTTTGAAGAGGAGAATAGACATAAAACAGGCATGTTTATTGTTAATTACAGCTGGGTTGTGTTCTGGATTGACCCAGAGTCTGTGGCGGAGAGGGTGAACATCTGCCTCGCTCTCATTCTATCCCAGCTGATCCTAATTGTGGGGGAGGAGGAGGCTCTTCCGCAGACTAGTGACTTCAAAATAATCGATCTCTACCTCATCCTCAACTTCCTCATCAATGTTCTCGTTCTCCTCCAGAACATCTTCACATCCTGCTGTGTGGCCAGAAACTGGGGCTGCAATGGCCACACAACCAGCCACACACACTCTCCTCCCACACCAGTTAGTTTTCAGTAACCAATTTTAGAAGAAAAGAAGACATTCACACTATTTGCGCAAGAAAGAATGATTATCAGATATTAAACTTATTGTAGCGACCAGGTCGTGCGAAGGAATGTGGGATTGGGGTCTGTTGCTTCCACGCACTATCAAGTGTAACAAATGAGCATCAAATGAGTTCCGGTCACCGGTCATCTATCATATTGAAGCTGTTCAGTCATGAATGGAGCTGCATCAAAATAGAAGCACACTTTCCCTCGCAAAATTCGTTTAGGGGGGAGGATGTTAACTTGGCTCTGAGTTAGATATTTTAGCCAATCAGAATACAGCTTTTTACAGGCAGCGCATAGCAATTTCAATTTAAAAATGAACGCTGGGATGGAGGATCTTAAACTGACTTGTCTACTAGGGGGGAGTGGGGTATGGGGATGGCGGCGGGGAATTTAAAAGCATCGAATTGGCTGATTGACCATAAAATTTTTTAAAGGCGGAAATACACTAACTTTGAGGGGAGCGCGCCCTCAAATTTAGTGTATTTCCGCCTTTAAAAAATTTTATGGTCAATCAGCCAATTCGATGCTTTTAAATTCCCCGCCGCCATCCCCATACCCCACTCCCCCCTAGTAGACAAGTCAGTTTAAGATCCTCCATCCCAGCGTTCATTTTTAAATTGAAATTGCTATGCACAAATTTTTTGGTGAAAATTTGAAACGTTTTTATCTCTACACGTTTTATTGCAATTTAGAAAATCAAAAATAATTTTAAATAGACGTTGTTGGCTTTCAAAATAAGAGGGAACACTAGAAAAGATGTGCAACGTAAAACGAATAGATTTATTTAACTGTTCAGGGCGCGTGGCGAATTTGAAACACAGAGTAACTCTTAAGACATTGTCAGCACCTCTTGACGTGTTGTTCAGGCTGTAGATTCACTTGGACTACGATTCAACAGCCGATCCGCTGAGCTCAAAAACGAAACACAATTGCAAGGAAAGCTTCAACCACAATACTGGGCCACAATATATCAAAACATATCAGGGGCGGATTTACGGGGGGGTTGCAGCGTCTTTTTTAGTGCTTTAGGAGAGCTCCGAAAATCAATTGTGTCAACCTTAAAAAAGTCGTCAAAGTTTTTGAAATTTTTTTGGAAATCCGTCCTCCTCGAGAAAATCCTAGATCATAACGAGGCCAAATTGTGCACTGGATAGGCGCACAGTTTTGTGTCTGTATGTTCCTGGATTCCATAGAAAAGTCTTTAAACATGTAAAAATTTATTTGTCGGAACGATCAAAGAAAATGAAAGAACAAAGGGAGCGTCCTTGTTGCGGAATCCGCTTACAATGCACAAAATGCACAGTTTGGCCTCGGGCAACTTGTTCACTTTAGCAATGGGCAGCAGTTAGCAAATAGCAAAATGCACAGTTAGCAATGGGCAACTTGTTCATTTTCTTAAGAACTGTACCGTCAAAAACTGCAGTTGAGATTTTGACTTCGAATGGAAGAACGGTTTGTGAGGTGATTCCGCTACGCTTTGTATTTTACAAAAAAAAGTTATGGCCCCAAAAGCCTTTTTTTTATACTAGCTAATTGATAGAGAAATCGCTTATGGGTGTTTTTCCTGCATTATCGAATACAGAAGCCTGATTTTGTTCCAGTACATATATATGGACACGAAACGTTTGACCGTTTTTGTGAATTTTTAGTTTTTCTTAAAAACTACTCTCTTAAATCTGGGATTAAAGCTTCAACCGAAAATGTTGATAAAGTCCTCTTGATATAGGCGGTTATGCCAAAATCTTCGTAGGGTTAATTTATGGGCTTCGAAAAGCCCATAAGAACTTGAAGAAACTTTAAACTTCGACCGTTTTTAAAAATTAAGCGTTTAGCGTTTAATTGAAAAGATTAAGCGTTTAATCGAAAATCTAGGTTATGTGATTCCTTCTGGCTCTAGCAGCTACGCAAAAAAATTTAGAAGCAAAATTTAAAGCCTCAGTAAAAGTCAAAAATTTGAAACTTCGACAATTTTTGGGAAACTTTTTGACTTTTCTGGAAAAAAAACTTTGCCAAATCTAAGATTTAGGTTTCAAGAACAGAACATGAGAATGTTCCCTGCATATGTAACAGTGCGGCTAAATGTTCATTTGGAAGACCAGGTGGTAGGATTCTTCACTGCATATGTAACTATGCGGCTAAATTTTCAATTGGAAGACCAGGTGGTAGGAATTTTCACTGCATATGTCACTGTGCGGCTAAATGTTTAATTGGAAGACCAGGTGGTAGAAATCTTCACTGCATATGTAACTGTGCAGCTAAATGTTCAATCGGAAGACCAGGTGGTAGGAAGCTTCACTGCATTTGTAACTGTGCGACTAAATGTTCAATTGGAAGACCAGGTGGTGAAAATCTTCACCGCAAATGTTACTGCGCGGCTAAATGTTCAATTGGAGTACCAGGTGGAAGGAATTTTCACTGCATATGTAACTGTGCGGCTAAATGTTCATTTGGAAGACCAGGTGGTAGGAATCTCCACTGCATATGTCACTGTGCGGCTAAATGTTCAATTGGAATACCAGGTGGTAGGAATCTTCACTGCAAATGAAACTGTGCGGCTAAATGTTCAATTGGAATACCAGGTGGTAGGAATCTTCACTGCATTTGTAACTGTGCGACTAAATGTTCAATTGGAAGACCAGGTGGTAGGAATCTTCACTGTATATGTCACTGTGCGGCTAAATGTTCAATTGGAAGACCAGGTGGTAGGAATCTTCACTGCAAATGTAACTGTACAGCTAAATGTTCAATTGGAATACCAGGTGGAAGGAATCTTCACTGCATATGCAACTGTGCGGCTAAGTGTTCAATTAGAAGACCAGGTGTTAGGAATCTCCACTGCATATGTCACTGTGCGGCTAAATGTTCAATTGGAAGATCAGGTGGTAGGAATCTCCGCTGCATATGTCACTGTGCGGCTAAATGTTCAATTGGAAGATCAGGTGGTAGGAATCTTCACTGCATTTGTTACAGTGCGGCTAAATGTTCAATTGGAAGACCAGGTGGTAGGAATCTTCACTGTATATGTCACTGTGCGGCTAAATGTTCAATTGGAAGACCAGGTGGTAGGAATCTTCACTGCATTTGTAACTGTGCTACTAAATGTTCAATTGGAAGACCAGGTGGTAGGAATCTTCACTGCAAATGTAACTGTACGGCTAAATGTTCAATTGGAATACCAGGTGGAAGGAATCTTCACTGCAAATGTAACTGTACGGCTAAATGTTCAATTGGAATACCAGGTGGAAGGAATCTTCACTGCATATGCAACTGTGCGGCTAAGTGTTCAATTGGAATACCAGGTGGAAGGAATCTTCATTGCATATGTAACTGTGCAGCTAAACGTTCAATTGGAAGACCAGGTGGTAGGAATCTCCATGTATATGTCACTGTGTGGCTCAATGTTCAATTGGAAGACCAGGTGGTAGGAATTTTCACTGAAAAAGTAACTATGCGGCTAAAGGTTCAATTGGAAGACCAGGTGGTAGGAATCTTCGCTGCATATGTTACTGTGCGGCTCAATGTTCAATTGGAATACCAGGTGGCAGGAATCTTCATTGCGTATGTAACTCTGCGGATAATGTTCATTTTGAAGACCAGGTGGTAGGAATCTTCACTGCATATGTAACTGTGCGGCTAAATGTTCAATTGGAAGACCAGGTGGTAGGAATCTTCACTGTATATGTCACTGTGCGGCTAAATGTTCAATTGGAAGACCAGGTGGTAGGAATCTTCACTGCATTTGTAACTGTGCGACTAAATGTTCAATTGGAAGACTAGGTGGTAGGAATCTTCAGTGCAAATGTAACTGTACGGCTAAATGTTCAATTGGAATACCAGGTGGAAGGAATCTTCACTGCAAATGTAACTGTACGGCTAAATGTTCAATTGGAATACCAGGTGGAAGGAATCTTCACTGCATATGCAACGGTGCGGCTAAGTGTTCAATTGGAATACCAGGTGGAAGGAATCTTCATTGCATATGTAACTGTGCAGCTAAACGTTCAATTGAAAGACCAGGTGGTAGGAATCTTCGCTACATATGTAACTGTGTGGCTAAAGGTTCAGTTCAAAAACCAGTTGGTAGGAATCTTCACTGCATATGCAACTGTGCGACTAAATGTTCAATTGGACGACCAGGTGGTAGGAATCTTCACTGTATATGTCACTGTGCGGCTAAATGTTCAATTGGAAGACCAGGTGGTAGGAATCTTCACTGCAAATGTAACTGTACGGCTAAATGTTCAATTGGAATACCAGGTAATATGAATCTTCACTGCATATGTAACTGTGAGGCTAGATGCTAAATTGGTAGACTAGCTGGTAGGAACCTTCACTGCAAATGTAACTCTGCGGCTAAAAGTTCAATTGGAATACCAATTGGTAGTAATCTTCACTGGAATGTAACTATGCGGCTAAATATTCAATTGGCTGACCAGATGGTAGGAATCTTCACTGCATATGGTAACAGAGCGTCAAAATGTACAATTGGAAGATCAGGTGGTAGAAATCTTCACTGCATATGTAACTGTGCGGCTAAATGTTCAATTGGAAGACCAGGTGGTAGGACTCTTCACTGCAAATGTAACTGTGCGGCTTAATGTACAAAAGGAAGACCAGGTGGTAGGAAACTTCACTGCATGCGTCACTGTGAGGCTACATGTTCAATTGGAAGACCAGTTGGTTGGAATCTTCACTGAATAAGTAACTATGCGGCTAAAGGTTCAATTGGAAAACCAGGTGGTAGGAATCTTCACTGCAAATGTAACTGTACGGATAAATGTTCAATTGGAATACCAGGTGGAAGGAATCTTCACTGCATGTGCAACTGTGCGGTTAAATGTTCAGTTAGAAGACCAGGTGGTAGGAATCTTCACTGCATACATAACTATGAGGCTAAATGTTCAATTGAAAGACCAGGTGGTAGAAATCTTCACTACATATGTAACTGTG